CAGAACATATCAGATGATGAGCTGTAGATCAGGGATAGGCGCCCGATATGGGGAAGTTTTATTAAATGTAAGGGCAACTCCCATGAACAGCGATGTCATTTGGGAGAGGTGATAATTTATGATTATTTAATTCCAGATGACGTTCTTTCAGCTAAAGCAAAATAATTCAATATGCTGATCCGTAAAATTCGCCAAAAATGTCATCTCACATCACTGCGCATGCATGCCTTTATCGGTGAGAAGACAGCAATACCCCAATTATGCGGAAAAGAACTGCGAACTCGTCGTTCAATCAATTCTCGAAAAATGAGTCGATCACCTTCACAGAAGAAAGAAGTGGAGGCCGAAGCGATATCCTCTCTCCACTTACTCTGTCACCGGTGGTGCAAAAGAATTGACATTGTTGGTTAACCATTGTAACAACCTTTTTTTGGTGATCCTATTCAGTAATCGTGTATTGTGTGTGATATGAATATTTGACAATCAGTGTTTTCTAATTATCCCGAAAGACTAACGCAAAAAATTATCGAATGTAATAAAACCTGTAGGAGGCCGGTAGTATGCAACACCAAAAACATGGGTCAATTTTCTCTCGATCGTTCAAAGTGTAACGCTCGTGACCGAAATAATATTGAGAGCCTATAAGTCTAGAGAACTTAACTATTACATTGATCTTAGCGCAGGACTTATTATATTGGCGTGACCATACGACTATTAATTGGCATATAACTTTTCTCTCATATGTGTACACATCCTCTTCGTGCCTCGTTGCACATTATTGATAACAATCAGAAGACAATACCTGAAAATCAAAAAAGAAATTAAGAGGCATTCTAACAGAAAAAAGCGTACTTACCATTTATTTTATTATTATTATTATTACTTGTTTGGAAACTGAAAGTATCGAGAGCTTTGATACACCTCGACGCTATTATGACCGGAATGATAATTTTTTCCAAAAAAAGAAAATAATAATCAATCGATCGGCAAGAAACATGAGAGAAATTTCTTGATTGGTGAAGGCATAATATGAAATGAATTACCCTTTGTTCACACCGTCATCAATTGATATTAAATTTTAGTAGCTCAGTAACACCTAAACCTAAGGAATATAAACAAAATATTCATACTAATGTGCGGTGCACATTCTGTTATGTGTACATGCATGTTGGCAAAATAGCTGAAACAACATGCCGCCGCAGCACTTGTGAAACAACACCAGAAAATTAGGCGGTCGCTTTATTCATATCTTGTTATTATCGTGCTTTCAAAAAGGAAAACAATGGAATGAAGGTTAATGCATTCACGTTTAATCAATTCTTCAATTCTCTCTTTCGTTCTTCAGGATCATGATCAAAAGCTCGTGATTAATAATTAGCCAGAATTTCTGTACACAATACGACAACCGTTATATGACGTGGTCACATTGTTTCCTGGAATAAGAAAAATTAATATAATGGAATATACTGTAACTCAAATTAATTAAACACGTTTAATATAAATTTGCTCGGTAAATATTAATGAAATATACTTCTGTGATTGTTGTTAAAGAATATACATAAGTTTTTTTGTTAGGTAATATATGGATAAAGTGAATATATATAAATAAATATACATATTAGTGGGGAATGCGGATGAAATTGCGGGAAAAAAATTATTTTTTTTAATACTACCCTTTAGTGTTCGTGAAATCCTACGATCTGATAATCATCCTGTTCATGCATCCGCACGCGAACCTAAATTGAATCCGTAGCTTTCTATCGAATTCCGTCGGAAGAAATGACAAAGACAAAAGTCGGTCATCATTTTTGAAACTTACAAGCTTGTTCCGTTCTGTGTTCACAGATGGTTACTATTTCAAATTAGGCTACTAATAAGTGATATAAATTGTGATGATAAAGAGAATCTTCATTCTAACCAATATACACGAATCTTTACCTGTATTTGGATTACAACCTGTTTGCAGGCTGCAGCCAGAAGATGAGAAGATGGAGAACTATTTCATAAAGACTAATGATGCTTTTCTTTGCTTGTCATGTGAATGACCAGCGCGGATTTAAAAATTCCTGTAATACTATTCACGTGACATAAATATACATGGGAAAAAATTGCTTCGACCTTTACGATTTATTCCGTCCAGTCCCACAAACATCAACAAGCTCTAATTTCAAAATTCTAATTCCATACCTCTTTGGCACCTTTTCCGGTTCATGTCTCCCTATCTTTGGAAAAACAAACAAATCCTTGCCATACTTACCATTCA